AGGATCACACCTTTATCTTTCTTCTCTTTTTGTTATTGCATTTCATCCTAGGATCACACCTTTATCTTTCTTCTCTTTTTGTTATTGCATTTCATTCTAGGATCACACCTTTATCTTTCTTTTCTCTTTTTTATTGCATTTCATTCTACGTTCAAATTCCTTTTTATGGATAGGGGATAGAAGCCATCGCTGGAGGAGGTAGACAATGAGCTTAATGAGCATAATAGCCGTGATCATTCACCCACGCACCAAAGTCTAATATTTTCAACACTCTCCCTTAAATGACCACTATACTAAGTTATTGTTGAATGCACGAATGCTGCTTTCATTAAAATCTTGCCAGTTAAACCCAGTCAGATAAAATATGGACAAAGAAAAAAGAGTACGTTTAAATTTTAATATATCTTGATGTGGATGCTCCCCTTAATAAAAAAATCAATTGATCTAATCACAAACCCGACACATTTTGATGTCGTATACCAACTTGTTGAACATTGATGATGACAACGTTTTAGTGAATAGATTTGCAAGATTATTACTTGATCGTATCTGCTTTATTTCAACTTTACTTTAATTGTACAACTCTTCAGTTCATAAGTATGAAAAAATTTTGTTAATATATGTTTGGTTCGATCATGTTTAGTAAATCCTCCTTTGACTTGTGCAATACAAGCAATATTATCTTCATAGAACGTTGTTGGTGAATCTGTAGTTAAGACAATTTTCATGTACTCTAGATGTGATGGACTACAGATCTTATACATTCACAACTTGCTTCACGGAGTGCTAATATCTCGGAATGATTAAAAGATGTAACAATTAAAATTTATTTTGTAGATTGTTATGAGATTGTTGTATCACCACATATAAAATATATACCCAGTTTGTGAATGAATCGTCTGAGGATCACAGAGATATCAAGGGAAGCCTTATTTGTAAGAAGGGGAGACAGAGCCAAATGAATTTCATTGGATAAGGAAAATCTGTGCTTTCTAGTCTCAATCCCTAAGTCATCCCCTTCTTGTGCGAGAACAATTTGAGAGTTACTTTTAAAACAACGCAATAACATCTCCCTTGGGCTTGGGATAATGGTTACAACTCACCTCAAAGTCACTAGCAGAAGAAAGACATAGCAAGCTTGGCCCACTTTTATCTTTGTTGGGTCTTGGAGCAGTTTCTAATTGGGCTAGGTTTGGTCTTGGGCTCTCAGGCTGTTCGGTCAGAAAATAGCTCAACTTACTTGATTGGGCCCATGCAAAATAGCTAGAATTTGTCCACGTGAAGTAATCTAGGACTTGCATTTCTTTACCTCCGTTTTCAAGCTTCTCTTGCCTTGTTTGGGCATCAACAGAGTCGGCGCCAACTCCATGCATCTCCGCTACACTTTTTGTAGCGTTCTCTAATGGGTTGTCGAGNAACTTTACTTTAATTGTACAACTCTTCAGTTCATAAGTATGAAAAAATTTTGTTAATATATGTTTGGTTCGATCATGTTTAGTAAATCCTCCTTTGACTTGTGCAATACAAGCAATATTATCTTCATAGAACGTTGTTGGTGAATCTGTAGTTAAGACAATTTTCATGTACTCTAGATGTGATGGACTACTACAGATCTTATACATTCACAACTTGCTTCACGGAGTGATAATATCTCGGAATGATTAAAAGATGTAACAATTAAAATTTATTTTGTAGATTGTTATGAGATTGTTGCATCACCACATATAAAATATATACCCAGTTTGTGAATGAATCGTCTGAGGATCACAGAGATATCAAGGGAAGCCTTATTTGTAAGAAGGGGAGACAGAGCCAAATGAATTTCATTGGATAAGGAAAATCTGTGCTTTCTAGTCTCAATCCCTAAGTCATCCCCTTCTTGTGCGAGAACAATTTGAGAGTTACTTTTAAAACAACGTAATAACATCTCCCTTGGGCTTGGGATAATGGTTACAACTCACCTCAAAGTCACTAGCAGAAGAAAGACATAGCAAGCTTGGCCCACTTTTATCTTTGTTGGGTCTTGGAGCAGTTTCTAATTGGGCTAGGTTTGGTCTTGGGCTCTCAGGCTGTTCGGTCAGAAAATAGCTCAACTTACTTGATTGGGCCCATGCAAAATAGCTAGAATTTGTCCACGTGAAGTAATCTAGGACTTGCATTTCTTTACCTCCGTTTTCAAGCTTCTCTTGCCTTGTTTGGGCATCAACAGAGTCGGCGCCAACTCCATGCATCTCCGCTACACTTTTTGTAGCGTTCTCTAATGGGTTGTCGAGCAGTACCTTGCCACGTGGCTGAAGAGGGATGGGTGGGAGTGATTCGTACTGAGTGCTCGCACCAATCTCTAACACTTTGCCTGATTTGTCACTACTAGGGGCGTGTGCGCCGCTATTCTCACCTAATCTGTGTGTTTCACGCGCCAGTTGCCTGTTATCTTCTCTAGCAATTCCCTTACCGTGTTTAGACCAGATGGATCGTTCGTTGCTTCTCATCTGTATTACAGACCAGTTTTACCTATAATTGGTGTGCGAAGGAGTAGATTGAGCCATTAACTCGGTCAAATTCTAGCCTTTTATCTCCAGCCTTTTTGAGGCAAAAGTTTCAACTATGTCCGATACGGCGACACTAGTAACAAAAATTCGGCAGCCTCTCAAACTTGATGCTGATCCAAATGTCATCAAGGTTCTCACGCACCAAGCAGTAACCATTCTTCAGTGGCTCTATAATATCAATGTCACAGCGAACCCAAATGAAATTCCTTGTAGCAACTCTTCTTTAAAATCTTCAAGTTCTGTAGGAGTCACCAAGGAATTTTCGATCATCCGAGAGTTATTTTTGGTCATCATATCGATCGGGAGCTCCCATATTTGTATCCAAGCTGTATTAAACACAAAATCTCTGATAGTTGAATTGGGAAGACATTTTGTGAGAACGATCAGGTTGCCCATAACTGACCAGGGACTTTCAGCAAGGATTTTATCACTATCTGCCTCGGATTTGAACATGGATAGGAAAATGTTCTTTCCCCGGTAAGTTATGGAAAAGCCCTTGTGTGTCTTCCAAGCATTCATTAGGACATTGCTGACTCCATTCTTATTCAAAGGAGTTTGTCATAATTTGTCAGGTCCCGATCAAAGCTTAGTCACAATGGCTTATGAAAATTTGTATTCTGTTTGGGTGAGAATGTACCACAATAGTTGGGATAATTTTGCTTGATGATTTGTTGATATTTTCTGGTTTCTTGAGTAGGCTAAAGCCTAACGAAATCAACTAATACATGGTCGAAACTTAAGTTACTAGACTTGACTAATGAAACAAATTACAGGAAGCAACAAAATGTAAAAACAGACTCTTAAACTAGTTCCAACCATAGTTCTGAATAACGGTAACGGTCATCGTAACGGTAACGGACGCGAGACGAAACGAACGTTACGTAACAGCAACGGAAACCGGGAGCGTAAATTTTTTGTTTTCGTTGACAACTCTCTCAAAAATATAAATTTTTGGATTTTTAACTCTAAGCTTATGTAAATATAGGTCTTTTGTGATATGTTATATATTTTATTGTATTATAAACAATGTTATATGAATTTATCTTTTAATAATTACGTGATAAGAGTTTTATAGTGACTTTTAATTGAAGGGAACCCACTTAAATATTTATGTGAGAATTTAAAAACAATAGCCAATTGAGATTTTATCAAAAATCCTTTTTTGATTATGAGTATACATTCCTAAAAAAATATTATCAAAATATAAAACAAAAAATCTGTTATTCTATTGGCCATGCAAAAGCTATTGCGCCATGTAAAAAATCTGTTAATCTCCTATTCTCATGAGAAGGGGCAGCTTAGTCTTTTCACCCATGACAAAAACCATAATATAATATTTTTACCTCTAGTCTCTTCTCCGTCGTTCTTCTAGTCTAAATAGAGAAGTCTGAACAGAGAAGTGCTCTGTTTCTCTCTCCCTTGTAGACTAAGCTATGTGAATATGAAAATTCCACCCAAAGTAGCCATGCAACAGAGTTTAGAAACCGATCATTAAAGAGATACTAGATCTACACACCTCCTTGTCTTAATTTCTACTCTTCTTCTTTCATAAATTATTCTTGATTTTCTTATTTTCTGGTAACAAAATCAACAGATGTTGTTGTGTAACGGCCATTACGGCTATATAACGGGTTGTAACTCCCGTTACGCCCCGTTACATCGGTGTAACGCCCGTTATGGGTGTGTATTTTTTTTTGACCGATAAATTGGGATGTAACAGTATCGTCGATCGCCATTATTGTTATGTAATGGCCGTTACGCACAATAATGGCCGTTACGCACAGCATTGCTAGATTTTTNTCTGACCGATAAATTGGGGTGTAACAGTATCGTCGATCGCCGTTATTGTTATGTAATGGCCGTTACGCACAACAACGACCGATTTTCCAAACCATGGGTCCAATGGCTAGTTGGCTGGGCAACGCTGCATGTAGCCATTTGTAGCTGCTTCACTACCTACGTGATCCTTGCAACAACTTTGACAGCTTCTTCTCCTCTTTTGCAAGCCATGCAGCGCAGCACTTTTCTCACGTTCAATCTTCACCCCCGATACTTGGAGTTCGGTTTTGGCCTCCTTTCCGATCTACATAGACTATCATACTTCCCCCATCAAGTGGATCCTTGTCTTCAAAGTCCATGGTTGGGAACCTTTCCAACAGCATCTTTGTCGGCTCCCATGTCACCTTCTTAAGCAGTAAATGCTTCCATTGCACCAAACTCTCCTCAACAAGTTGGGTTCCTTGTTTAGTCCAACAGTAGTCAAGAATAGCTTGAGGTTCCAAAACAACTACCCCATCGTTTGTGAATGGTGGCAATTCCATGTTCTATGCCTTAATATTCCCTACATGATTTTCATACCGCTTAAGCAATGACACATGGAAAATTGGGTGGCTGTGCAACCCCTCCGGTAACTGAATCTCGTAGGCGACGGGGCTGATTTTCTCTAGAATTTGGTAGGGCCCATAGAAATGGGTAGCCAATTTCTAGTGAACTCGTTTGAAGGCTGTTTGCAGACGGTATGGGTGGAGTNATCTCGTAGGCGACGGGGCTGATTTTCTCTAGAATTTGGTAGGGCCCATAGAAATGGCTAGCCAATTTCTAGTGAACTCGTTTGAAGGCTGTTTGCAGACGGTATGGGTGGAGCTTCAGTAGGACCATGTCGCCGATGTTGAATGACATATCCCTTCGCTTTTGATCTGCCAATTGTTTCATCCGGTTGATTGATTTTTCTAAATTGGCTTTGAGTTGTTGAAGCAATTCATCTCGGGACAAGAGCTACTGGTCAACTTTGTGTACTGGTGATAGGCCATCGTGATACAATGGAATAGAGGGTGGTAGTCGTCCATAAAGTGCCCAGAAGGGGGTCATCCCTGTGGAAATATGATACGTTGTGTTGTACCAGTATTTAGCCTAAGAAAAGTAGCAACTCCATTTGTATGGCCACTGGTGGACGAAGCACCAAAGATATTGTTCGACACAGTGGTTAACGAATTCCGTTTGTCTGTCAGTCTGTAGGTGGTATGTAGAGTTGAAATACAGCTGGGTACCTGACATCTTGAAAAAATCTTGCTAGAATTTACTAATGAAGGTCGGGTCTCGGTCGCTAACGATGGTCTTGAGCATCCCGTGGAGTTTGATGATCCCTTCCATAAACTTTTCAGCCACAGATTTAGCAGTAAAGGGATGGCTTAAAGAATGAAAATGAGCTGACTTACTCAAACTATCTACGACCACCAAGATGGTATCCTTGCTGTGTGAGATGGGTAATCCCTCAATGAATTCCAAGGTGATGTTGTCCCATACCGGGCATGGAATTTACAGTGGTTGTAGGAGTCCTACAGGAGCTAAAGTTTCTACCTTTGCCTTTTGGCACACCTCAGGCCATTTGACATATTCTTGGACTACTTTTTGCATCGCGGGCCAATAGAATTGCTGGCCCAATTTCTTAAGTGTGCATTGCACTCCTGACTGGTTGCCCACTTTGGTGTCATCCATTTCATGTAGCAACTTGGCCCGCAATGATGGGCTAGAAGGTATGATAACCCTGCCTTTTTAGAGATGTAGCCCATTACGCCTTCGGGTTGGTCCATTGCCATACGATCCATTGACTAGATATATGGGTCCTCATTTGTTTTTTTTTTTTTTTTGATTGTGAGGGTCCTCATTTGTAGCTTGCTTGATTTCTTCCCATAAATTGATCTGTGGAATAAAAATATGGTGAAGATACACTATATTGATAAATTTGTGCAATTCTTAATTAAACTCTAATTTTTATTACTTGTACATTGTTTTGATACATTTTAATTTCAATATATATATATATATATATTGCAAGAGAGATATGTTTAATGGCAAGGATAATAACAAAAAAAATTTAAAATTCAAAATAGTTAAGACATACACAATCAACGTTAGATGTAAATTTTAAACCCGAATAATACTCCTTCAAAACGTTTCTCCAAATTCATATTCATTCTCCCTCCCCCTAAAAAAATGCTATTATTGTTCTCCTTCATAATAATACACGAAATTCTCCCACCCAATTACTATCTCAACGCCTCTTTGCTCCACAATGTCTACAAGGCAAAAAACATAGAAGGAACAAATTGGACACAAATCACACCACAAGGCAAGCCCACTAGAACTATGAAAAATCCTAATCATGGAATAGGTATTGCATAGAAGTGTGAAGCAATATATGTTGCAAGTGGCAAAGAAAAGTGAGAACCCAAGTCTCTTTAAAATAGCCATTATGTTAGATCCGCGGCTATTCTTGAGGCTGCAGTTTATGTTATGTAGGCTGCACACTCGTTTAATCAACACAAGCAAAAGCCACTAAATAACTAGAAAAGAACACACCCAAAAAAATCGATAATTCATATAATTCTATCTATAGTCATTCAAGTCAACCTTTTTTGTATAAAAAAAATAAAAAGCTTGGCTCTTCTAATTATTTTTTTCAATGTGCACTGTACATGTTTAACTCTTGTTCTTAGTAAGGAGATTGGCAAGGAGAAATGGTGTTCTGTCAGTTTGCATTCAAGATACTGCAAAATGAAACCATTGTGGACAAAAATATTGTTACTGCCAATAATTATGGCTTCCTTGTGGAATCTGCCACATCATATCAATATAGTAACTATGGATTTCCCAAAAGCAAGTCACAAATATATAATTCAAGCATAACGATATTAATTCCATGGCTTAACTCAACAAAGCTTAGTCCTAAATATTCGGGGTCAACTACATAAACCTTATTCATGCGCTCAATCGAGCATAACAGTAGTGTTACTTATTTGATCAAATTTCACAGAAGTAGAAGGAAATAATCACACCGATCAGTCCATTCTACTGAAGATTAAAGGAATATATGCAAAATATCCAAGGAACAATTGAATTGTTAAATACCTCCAAGCTTTGAAATGCAAGATGACCATTGC